TGAATTACTGCAGGAGACAGAATGAATTAAGCCTAACTGTGTAAGGCTTATAGGACGGTTAGCACTGAAGCCCTACCTGTGCTCGCGGGCGTACTTCCGGTAGATCTTGAGGTGCAGCGACGTGCTGCTATGTACTACAGTGCGAGACCTAATTTGTCAGCAAGCTTTCTGGCAGAACGTGATAGAAATAAAATTGCAAGATTGTTTAAGCCAATAACGGACGTTTGGGATGAGCTTATAACTGAATGGCAGGGTAGATGGGCATCTTCTATTAAGGGCCGCCACCTGTATCAGTTCTTTCCATCCGTGCATGAGCGGCTGGAGAGGACATGGTTGGAGGTGGATCACTGTGTTGCCCAATTTCTTACTGGCCACGGCAACTTTAAAGGCAAATTGTTCTCATTTAAACTTATTGATTCACCATGGTGCCAATGTTCGACAGAGGAGTTGCGATACGAGCAGTCGGCCCATCACATACTCTGGGAGTGTGATCTCTGGCAATATGAACGTAACACTATGTTAAATAATTTAATTGTTTCGTCAGGTGTAGTTTATTATACGGACCTTGTGGAATCTAGAACGAATTTCCGTGCGTTTAGGCGTTTTTGCCATACCTATTATTGGAAGCAAGTATAACTTGTGCAACTTGCTCAAACCTTCTCCTCCTTTTTATCGCCGAAGGGGTAGGGAGAGGGGCACATTACGGCACTTAATGCCACTGTACAATGTAGCCCCCCGACACTTTGCCTGGCAGTCGCATTTGCGACCACTCGGCCAACGAAGCAGTCGAGGCAGACGTTTGCTCAGTAGTGGGCACCTATAGGCTGTTGATGATGCTGATGCCGATGCTGATGGTATCTTACTAATTATTTTTTTTTCAACAAACAGTTTTTTAAGGAGGGAAAGTCATCGAATAACTTCTCCCACCTGGGTGAGGCGGGAGGAAAGGTCTAGAAACAACTACGTTCCTACTCCTGCCCTTCGAGCCGACTGCCTGCTCCGTATCGGCATCAGCCCTATTGGGCCCCATTTGTGGTGGTCTAATGGCTCTTTGAGGCGCGCGCCAAACGTGTCGCGCCGTACGCTCGAACTCGCTTGCCACCATTATCAAGTAAACAGAATGAGCCATAACAAATAATTTTAAACACGATTACAATCACTAACCTATCTAATCACTGCAACAGCTCAAGCATAGAATTGAGTCGAACTTCGGACGAAACTTTTGTCGAATATAGCAATTTCACGGATGAACAGCGGTTAATCTTCCTGTCTCAAACTACGCGATGCATTGCCGTTTATATACCACCTCATTTTTATTTCAGCTCTATAAATGGAGTGATGTACTCGCATATTTATGTTTCCCATCGTAAAGGGTGAAGTTTCCGCCTTAAGTTATAGGGAGTAATCTTATCTTTGTAATGGTTGACCCTTGAGCAAGCAAAGATATCGTAAAGGAAAAGTTATGACTATGATCCGTTCAAGTTGTTTCTGATTTTCTTACTTATGGGATTTAGAATTGTCGTTATAATACTTTCTTTTGGCATTATTCCAATTAAGGATGACTGATTCTTGAACATATTTTGTTTTGCGATGCCATCTTATGCGAAATTACTTACACTATTATAAGTTAGCTTCGACTGCCTTGTTGGCCGAGTGGTCGCAAGTGCGACTGCCGGGCAAGGGGTCTCGGGTTCGATTCCCGGGTAGGGCAAAGTATTACTGGGTTTTAAAAAAAATCTCAGTACTAGCACGGAGCCTGGAATTGTGCCCGGTATATGGCAATAGGCCCACCCCCTATTACATGGGACTTCTAACATAAATAGTGAATAGTGGGTGTTACATTATACAGTGGCATAATGTGCACCTCTGGGTGCCCCTTCCGGGATAAAAGGCGTGATATTATGTTTATGTATTATAAGTTGTGATACAACCCTTTCTCAGTAACGTTTGATACAGACTAACAATGAGCTATGACTAATCAAGTTCAGGCTACAAGAGAAAACCACATTCTTCAAGTATTGAATAAATTTCAAGATAGAAAAAGTAAATCTAATTAACGGCAAGTAATATACATAAGCTACCCCGCTTATAATTAAACCTCACCTTTCAAAAAATCTCTTCACAAAAAGAGTCACCGAAAATCAATACACGTAAAAAAATTTAATATTGAAAAAAAAATGAGAAAAGTTTCGCTCCGTTGACTCGTGTATGTTAACGGAATACGAAGGGATATTGTACCTAAAGAAACATAGATGGGAATATGATAACAGGGAGAGGGGATCAGGAGTGAGGAGTGAGGAGTAACAACGCGATCAAAAGAACATAAGAACATCATGAATATGTAGGGATTGAAACATGGGATGGTATTAATAACACATCAGTCTGTAGTCTGTACTGCATCTCGTTGGGTGCTTCTGCGTTAATTTAATATCGTAACGAAGTACTGATGGATCTATATATTATGTAAACGTGTAGTATTGAAGAACTGCGTAGTCATAATTTAAAGAAAAGTTAGGGTATTTATATTTATAACTAGCGACCCGCCCCGGCTTTGCATGGCTTCAATATGCATGTATTATACATATAAACCTTACATACGAACCACTCTATCTATTAAAATAAATGCATCAAAATCCCTTGCGTAGTTTTAAAGATCTAAGCATACATAGGGACAGACAGACGGCGGTTAGCGACTTTGTTTTATACTGTGTAGTGATAACTATCATTTGACATACTAAGTATTGCGGGTTACTCACGTGAAAATATTGAGAAAAGCTCTACTAGTTTCCATTAGTAGACCGCGCACGCTGCTCATGAGGAAGAACCCCTCTGTAGTTCGAAACTAGTAGAGTTATTCTCAGTGTTTTCTCGTGAGTAACCCGCGATACTTAGTACGACAGTTATTATAAAAATATAAATACCCTAACTTTTCTTGAAATTATGACTACTTGATTAACGCAGTTCTTCATTATTACACGTTTACATAGTTAACCCTAAAAGTTGGTGCATTATTAGAAATTTCCGTTTTCGGAAAATTTATCGGTAGATGGAGATGAAGTTGTAACTATATAAATTAGAATATGTGTGGTGTTGTGCTCTGCTATTATCTATTACTAGCTGACCCGGCATACTTCGTACCGCCTAAAACTTTGTTTCTCACTCTCCCTTTTAAACCTTCCCTGGACTTCCACGATCATTTCAAGACCAAAATTAGCCAAATCGGTTCAGCTATTCTCGAGTTTTAGCGAGACTAACGAACGGCAATTCAATTTTATCTATATAGATATAATAGTTCTAACAAATCATTCATAGTCGATCTATGATGTTTCCTTCTGAGCATCTATCGTCGCATTAGTTCGCCACGTCAAACTGTATACAATACACAAAATCTATAAAGATCATTCATGAAACTTTCTAAGACTTTATTATATTTTGTAAGATCACATGAAGCACCTTAGTCAGTATCAAAATATTTAATGAGGTAATAATAGACAGTATCTAGATTTAATTAAGTGGCATAAGGTGCCGTAATATACACGTCTGCGTACCCCTTTGGGGATAAAAGGCGTGATGTTATATTAGTATTTAGAAAATAAGAAGACATAGGCCATAAGATTGATTAATTTATTGACAAGCACCACAATATTCATGGTGCTCCGATTCGTACTACGTTCGACAAAATTGGAAAACACCACCGCCACGGCACGTATGCTATTTCAATTTTGTATCAATTTTAATACCTACTTACATACATAATACTAGTATACTATACTAGTTATTTTTTACACATAGATATAGTATAGTATGAAAAACCCAGTAATACTTTGCCGACCCAGGAATAATTTGACTGCCTGATTGGGTAAAAAAGTAACTGAGCGTATTACACAATACATATCGATATTGAAATTGTCAGTAGCAGCAAAAAACCTGGACATCATCCAGCTTTGAACCATATGGGGACATACTGTAGCGAATATGAAATGTGATATTTCACATTTAAAACTATTGTTTTAGTTATTAATAAGATTTTTTATTACTATAAAACCTGAGCGAACTGTAATTGTAAATGTGTTCTATGTTGTTTTAATAAATTTATTTTATTTTATTTTTAATAGATATGAGCTTAAAAACCAAACATAGGGCTAATAGAATAGAATCTAGAATAGAGAGAACCTAATAGAATTTAATAAATGGCAAAACCTTGTGTTTTACCTGTCGCCTTATGTTCATCAAATAATAATATAGAGTACATATAAGAATGATATAATGTACTACACAAATAATCCTGATCTCATATCGGCAAGATCAGCGAGAGCAAAAAATTTGAATTTTATAAATGGCAAAACTTAGGATATTTAACCTGTCGCCTTATATTCATCAAATAATATTACAGACTACATATAGGTAAGAATAATATAAAGCCCTTCACAGATAATCCCGATCCCATATCAGCCATATCTGCAAGACCAGCGAGAGCAAAAAATTAAAAACCTCTTATTTTCAAATAATACTGAATCTTCGAAACTAGGTTAATAGAGCACTCGTACATTGGTACGTTCACAGCATGGCCGTCAGTTGTCGCGTAATGTTTTAAAATGGTATTTTCCCAGCATTCAAATACAGGCGTGTGGCCTGTACCGAAATTATTTCATATTAAACGTTTATGTAGGGGCAATGAAACGTTTATTTTTCCATGTGTTTTAGCTATCCTTTTCGGCCTATTATATCATTAGTATAAATAAACACTGTATTTTTTACATTAACAAATAAGATGTAAGTAATTTAATCTTTTTTTTTCAATGATAACTGAAATAGGTACATTATAAATCAGCTGCAGCCCTTTCAACGTAATCATATGAATTTATATACAAACTTTATTTAAAAATATTTTTGTCTAATTTGACAACTAACTATCTACTAAATTCGCTAATTGTCTTTCCATCTCATCCAATTATACTCGTAGCTCATAGCCTTGTTACCTTTGTATGGATATCTAAATTGGTTCTCTCGTAGTCTTGTTTCATTGGAATTGTAACACAACTAATGATACTTATGCCACCTGGGAACACACCCTTGATACCAGAATGTTTTGGAATTAGTACACAACTCAATTAGGTACACCTCAAAGTCTTCATAGTTTATTCCCAAATCAACTTACAAATAATTATGTTTGTATAAATTACAAATAATCTTAATATTAACATTTTATTTCAACAAAATACCACAATCTATGGGAAACGATGATCCAGTTACACTCTTCGCACTGTCACTAGCCAAAAACAATACAAGATCTGCAATCTCTTCAGACTCCGCAATTTTACCAAGTGCTGTAGTTTTATTCAAACTCGCCCAAAATTTGTCTTGTTCCTCTTTGTCCATTGTAATCTTCTCAACAAAATCTGTTTTTACTGGCCCAGGACTGACACAGTTTACACGAACGCCCTTTGACGCAAGTTCTAAAGCAATACACCTCGTGAAATGTTCTAAACCAGCCTTTGAAGAGCAATAAGCAAAATTTTCCGGCATGAATATTCCCTTTGCTCCAGCGCTACCAATATTTACTATATTACCTTTACTTTCAATAAGATGTGGAGCAGTGAGGTGGGTTAAATACACACACGACCGAAGATTTGTCGCCAATATTTGATCAAACTTTTCTATTGCATGTGGGTCAAGAATACTCACTGAATCGAACATTCCTGCATTATTCACTAACACGTCCAACTTTCCATATTGCTCAATTGTTTCACTAACAATCCTTTTCATATCTTCTTCTTTAGTTACATCGGCGATGATCATTAACGGTTTACTACCATTTCGTTCGCAGGTTTCCGAAACGTTCTTAAGTTTCTGTTCATTTCTGCCGACTATTGTTATTCTCGCTCGCTGTTTCGAAAATTTAATCGCCGTGGCTGCTCCTATGCCAGAACTGCTGCCCGTTACTATAATTACTTTGTTCTCGAAACTCATTGTTCCCTTTTTTGTGAATTCTTAAAGTCGCGACTGTATTTTAATAATGGATAAGTGATCGTAGTGTATGCTAACGTATAGTTCGGATGTCAGACTACAAATATATGCGTAAAAAGGCACGTAGGTTTTGCACGTCATCATACATGACTTGTTTTGTAAACTAGTAATCAAGTAGTACAATCAAGTTCTATAAATAGTTGTTGAATAAGATATTATTATCTTTTTTGAAGGTCATTTTCATTATTATTTTACGATGTTTATTTGTTTGTTCGTTGCTAGAGTTTAAATTGAATATTGTCAGGGCGATGAGAATATCTATAATTTATTTATTTATTTATTTATTTATTTATTTATAATATGGACAACCAGTAGTTGCTACATTAGGTCTTATATCTAAGTGAGTTGTGTTGAAAGTCTTATTGCAATATGGAGTCAGTCTAAAAGCTGGGCACAATTCCAATCTTAATGCTATCACCAAAACTACATGAATGTTTTGCCAATGTCAGTATCTAAACAAACTTTGAAAGTACGTACATACAACTTGTTAATGACAGATAAATAACTCGAGCAATTACAGTAACCGTACAATGGAAACAAGGATCAAAATATCTTGCTAGTTAACCACTCGTTGGATCAAAGGTTTCTTGATGTCCAACCAAGTGTTTAGTTAAAGTTACCGAAATTGAATTAGCCCACTGTTATACAGTTAGAATAGATGTATACTGCATTCCTCTAGTTTGTAATTGTAACTCCAAACTTGTTTTCCAAAGGGTCCTCTGGAAACTTTTGCAATAACCCTGGAAGTTGACGTTTTGTGATTAGATTTAATATTGCGTTCGTTATTGTTTGATAGAACTGCTGCAGCAGAATTATTGTTTCCTTTCAATGAATTTCGTGTATTGTACTGCTTTTATATAGGTCATCCAAGTAATAATTGGGGTGATGACTGGGTATGAAAATTAAAAATATAATTAGTCCGTAAGTAAGGTAATGAAAAAATATTAGACACGTATTTTTTCATTTTGTCGTATAATAAAACAATACTTAGATAAAACGAATCAAAGTTTAGGAGTGGGGGCTAAAACGTCATTTGTACGTATAAAATGTACACAGAAGTGACGTCACGCGACATTTCAAATCAATATATCGTCGAAAGTATTTGTTTCTGTAAGAAAATAAAAAATACGTGTCTATTGATTTAAAATAATCTACCAGACGGACATTAAAATAAAAATTAGGCATCTACCTTATTCTAAGACCATTTCATCTTTGAGGCATTTTTTATTTGGGTTCTGGTCACTTTCATTTCTGTTAAGATGATTTTTAAATGAATTTTAAAACACTACTTATCGCTGCCGTAGTTAGTAGAAATACCTTGATAATTTTTATTTATCCAAAAATAGATACTTACTACTCAGATAAGTACCTATTGTTATTACTATAATCTGCTGGCATTCATCGCATCGAATGCAAAGATGCACAATGCACATATATCAGTTGCTGTGGAACTCCTCAGTACCGAAGCATTCTGCGTGAGATCAATAATAATTGATCCCAGTTATACGGAATTCACATAACATAACACAACATCAGGCCTTTTATCCCCGAAGGGGTAGGCCGAGGTGCCCACAGCACCTAATGCCACTGTACAATGTAACACCCACTTTTCAATATTTATATTATGAGTCTCATGTAATGGTGACCCTATTGCCATATACCGGACACAATTCCAGACTTCACACTTTCCGTGCTACTACTGAGATTTAAAAAAAAATCCAGTAGTACTTTGCCTGACCCAGAACCCGAGACCTTTTGCCCGGAAGTCGCACTTGCGAGGCAGTTATACGGAATTCAGAATTTGTGAATAGACGAAACCTAGGGCTTAGTGCCTACTAACACATAACTATGGTTATCACACTAGTTATGTATTTGTCCCTTCTGGAAGTCGAACCTCAACTAACGAGGCAGTCATACAAGAGAACACGTGTCTGTTTAACCAGAGGTAAGCTCTTTACACCACTATTAGGTGGAACTAACAACATAATTGGCGGAAAGTAGCAACATACTTAAGTGCCAGTTATGCCAGTAATGCCATTTATGCCATTCGTGCCATTCCTATTCTTTCACTCGTCATTATGTGTTTTCTGATGTACTTATGTAAATAATTACCTTATAACATGGTTGGGTTTATTTTGATGGTGTGACATTGTTAAAATGTGTAGGATATCTTATCATACTATAGGTACGGTGACCGCAACCTATTGTTCTTTAATTGTGTCTATAATGACGGTACTCAAAGGGTTAAAAAGGTAATCGTCCTGGTAAATTGACTTGTGTCAATTTTTTTATGGGGTAAGTCAGTAATCGAGCTGACGGTTCACATGATGGTAGGCAATCGGCGTTGCCCATGGACACCTGAGACAAGAGGCGTTACAAGTGCGTTACCGGCCTTTTGGGAATTCGGAATTAGGGGATTGTGGGGGATTCAGGGATTAGGGAGACTGGAGAGAGGGGGTAGCCTTCGGTAACCTCACTCACAAGACGACACACAACGCAAGCGTTGTTTCACGTCATATAAGCAAAGATATGTATGTAGTTAAAGAATCCATTTTATTCAATAACTTTTTTCGAAGATCTATGAATAATTTTATAAATAATGTAAGTACGGATTCTACTGTTACCGACCCAGAAATCAAACCTGAGACGCCTTGCTTGGTCATCAAACTTAAAATAATATACAGAAATAAATTCTACTTACTTACATGTAGCTGCGTTATATATAATAAGTATATTATTAATATTTAAAATCTTATTATGAAACCGCAATTGTGGTTTTGGTATTTTATATTTCAGTAATAAGCATAATATATTAATTATACATAATATCGAAATTGTTCATACATAAGTAATCTATTTATGGTCGTAATAATGCAAATAAATTATTTAGTTTTCAGTCTAGCCAGCCACATTAGGGTGTGTATATATATATATATAATGCAAATAATAATATAGAAATTCCCAATGACAATATTTATTATTAGTCCGCAGATAATATTTGCAGGATTCTATTTTAATGAATAATAAACATGGTATAAGTAGTATAAATATCTTGCTGTTTTTCCTCTGAAAGAGTAGGCAGGGAGATGTGTGTCATAAAATTAAGTGTGTCATTCACTTTCGATATAGATACTTGTTTATTAGTCCCATGTCATGGGCAGAACCTAATATCAAACATAATGCAAACGAAAATAGAAAGTATTTACAGAGGTATTTTTTTTTTTTTTTAAGGGGGGAAAATCATCGAATGACTGCCCCCGCCTGGGTGAGGCGGGAGGGAGTGTCAGACTCTTACTGACTAAAAACCACCCCGTTCCTTCTCCTGCACGTCGAGCCGGAGCCCCGGTTACCCGTTAGGTTCTCCGCGACTCCGAATCGGCATCGGCCCTATTGGGCCCCATCTGTGGTGGTCTGATGGCTCTTTGAGGCGCGCGCGGAACGCGACGCGCCGTACGCTCGGGTCTGTTTCTGGTCGGACGGAGAGCCACCCATGCTCGCCGTCCGCAGGCCCGCGCTTACGGTGGCCGGAGATCGTCCCGCGATCCCCGACGCCCGGTGTGTCCTTCGCGATGGCTGGGTTGCGAGGAGGCAGCGCTTCGCTGCCTCACGCGTCCCGCCTCCTCCTTAGCTAGCATGACTGCTTCGCAAAAGGAGGAGACGGCATCCCAATCCCCCTCGCTCCGCATCATGGCCTGCACTAGGCCCGGACGCGAGAGGTCGCCATCGCCGATCACTTCCCTGAGGACACGGCGGTGCTCAGCCCACGAAGGGCATTCTCCCACCGTGTGTTCCACCGTGTCCTCAGGGCGGTCCTCGCAGTGATGACACCCGGGCGTTTCCTCCCGCCCCATCAGACACAGGTACCTCCCGAAACTTCCATGTCCGGTGAGGACCTGCGTCAGGCGGTAGGTGAGGACGCCGTAGCGTCTCTCAAGCCACTCCTCAAAGAGGGGACTTACCGCTGCGATGGCAGCGAGCCCAGGGTATCAATTTCGTTTTAGACTCAAAAATTAAAATATTACTTGACAGTCGCATTTACCTCATGATTTTACTTGTTTTGCTGAGCTTTGTTTAGTTTTAATATGATTAACGCTTCAGACAAATGGGATCAAATATATGCGAATACAATGAACTTGGTACTCCCGTGATGCACCGTGGTCGTAGTTTGCTGTTTTATAACATATAGTCTTCTTTGATAAATGGAATACAACACACTAAATTTTAAAAAAAGAATCTTTCAAATCGAGCCGGTATATCTAGATATTACCGCGTTTAAATAAACATATAAACTCTTCAGCTTTGTACAGGTGACTTGTAATTGTCTCTCGACGTATTCCTCTCGGGAGGTGATCATACAACTAATTTCTCTCCCTACCTTTCCTACCTAAAAGTAACCCTAAGGTCCGTAGTCCGAAAGTCGCTAGTTTCTGAGATATTCAACATTTTCAACGTTTTAAGTAAAAACGCGGGTTACTCACGTGAATATACTGAGTAAAGCTCTACTAGTTTCGAACCACAGAGGGGTTCTTCCTCAGGACACGTCGCGACCGCGCACTGCACGCAGTTTTTACATAATTTAGTATGTCTGACGATAGTTATTATATAAACATTTTCGGTTTTGGTGAGAAAATCCCGATCTAACTACAAAACATCATTAAATAAAAAACTACTGATTTCATTTTAAGTGATTTTAGTTTAAATTTGTTGTCAATACCTACATCAATAAACATTTAATAATATTAATACTTTCAGAAATATCATTCGGTTTAAAATAGCAAGTGAATTAGTATAAAAATGTTTCAGTCAATTTAAAAAATGGACTCATTTTAAAAAATTGATATTACCCCATATCAGTGTATTACCCTAAGCATCCAAACTATTACGAAAACTTTTTTTGGTTTATTAGCTACCCAAAAATATTAAATCATTTATGAAATTCTCAAAACAAATTAATATCTTGATGATAAGTTGAGTGTAAAACGGGAAATTACAAAACCCTTTATAATAGTATAAGATAATATGTATTATTAAGAAAACTTCATCTCATTTACGTCATGGTGGCCTGTCCACCGGATTACCCATGGATTAATAGGAGTAATATCAGTGTTGACGAACCAGCTCAGTAGAAGATCAATGTCAACATAGTTATCAAGAAACTAGGTTTAGT